ATAATAATTAAGTATTATGTTAGAATTTAATGATTATACTAATTATATTTTAGATTTTTTATATTTAGAATGAGATGTTTATCATGTATTTGATTGTGTTTATCTGCACTTAGTTACACGAATTCAGATATGGGATGAAATCGGATAGGGATGAAATCGTTTAAGGATGAACGGGTTTAAGAATTTTTAAGAGTTTTAGGCAAATGTTTTATAAGATAGTATAGATAATTTATAGTTTATTATAAAAAAAATATTCATAAAAAATGAAATTCAATTTCATTTTAAATCCTACAAACCAAACACACTAAAAATTCTAAATCCAATTCTTCAATAAAAATCCCTTAAAAATATTCTATCAAACCAAAAGCTATTTTAAAGGTTTAGGAGGTGTTTGGTTCAAGTAAATGAATGAAAATAAAAATAAGAATGAATTTTCATTCACTCTAGTTTAACTTGAAATGAAAATTTAGGACTTCTGGGGGAATGAACCTATTATATTATATAAAAACAAATAACTTTTTTCATTTTCATTTTCATTTTCATTAATTACTGTTTAATACCTCTAACTAAACACCTCTTAGTATTGTATTTTAATTTCTTTCAATTTGTTAAGTAAAAAAGACACGTATAACAATCAATGTGCATAGATATACACATAATCGTTCTATATTAAAAAACATACTGTATCATCCAAAATATTATTATTGTTTAAAAAATGAAAAGTTTAAAAAAACCCAATGGACTTTAGTGTTTGAAATGATTAAGTCATTGGATAATTTTTTGGAAGAAACAAGTCCTTGGATATTTCAAAACATGTTAAATAACTCCTTGGACTTTCTAAAATCTGTTAGATACATCCTTATGACCTATACAACTGGTTAATTTGGAAAAATAATAGAAAAAGTTTGAAAAAAAACCAATGGACATTCATATTTTGAACGATTAAGTTCCTAAACATTTTTTGAACCAAAAGAGTACTTAGATCTATTAAATGAAATAAATATACAAAAATACAAAAAAAAAAAACTTATATTTAAATTTTTTTTTGATAAAATTTACTTCAATTAAAAATAAAATATATTTTGTCAGTGATTTTTTTCAAACTAAAAAGAACAAAAAAAGATTTAAAATTACTGATGAAATTTATTTTAATTAAAAATAAAATATATCTCGTATATGATTTTTCAAATTAAAAAAAAGATTTAAAAAGATTACTAATGAAATTTATTTTAATTAAAATAAAAAATATTCTGTTAGTGATTTTCAAATCTAAAAAATAAAAAAGGAATTTAAAAAGATTACTAATGAAATTTATTTTAATTAAAAATAAAATATATCTCGTATATGATTTTTCAAATTAAAAAAAAGATTTAAAAAGATTACTAATGAAATTTATTTTAATTAAAAYWAAWAWWWTTTTWWTTTTAAATAAAATAAATTTCATCAGTAATCATTTTTTATTCTTTTTAATTTGAGAAATCATATATATATGAAATATATTTTATTTTTAATTAAAATTAAATATAATCAGTAATCCTTTTTAAATTCTTATTTATTTTTTTTAATTTGAAAAATCACTGACATAATATTTTTAATTTTTGTTAAAATAAATTTCATCAATAAGTTTTTTTAAATGTAAGTAACTTTTTGGTATATTTATTTCGTTTTATATATGCAAGTATTTTTTTTTTGTTCAAAAAATGTTTAGAGACTTAATCACTCAAAATATGAAAGTCCATTGGCATTTTTCAGGTTTTTCCATTATTTTACCACGTTAATCAGTTTTATAGGTTATAATGATGTATCTAACAGGTTTTAGAAAGTCTAAGAAGTTATTTAACATGTTTCGGAATGTCCAAGATTTTATTTGTTCCAAAAAACTGTTCAATGACTTAATCATTTCAAATACTAAAGTTCATTGAGTTCTTTTAGATTTTTCCCTTTAAAAAAATATGTATATAATAATACAATCGTTTATATGAGAAAGAAAAAATCGTTTAGGTTTAAATTTTAAGTATTGGGATTTTGGAAACAATAAGTAAAAGAAAATGTGTAAATAAAAATATAAAGTCTAATGAGATAGATTAACCATGAATTATACGGGTGTATATTAGAAACTTCATATATTATTATATATGACTCAACTTAATTGAAATAATCAGTTTACTACTACAAATTGTAAACTTAACTGAGTAAGCTTGCTTTCACAATTTTTCGAATCAGCTATTGAATATGATATATCTAATTCGTCCAGCTTGGTCCAATTATTTTGGTTTAACCAGTATCTATAGTAAACGTAAAGATAAGGTAAAAAAAATGATAAATGGTACAATGATAAAAGTCAAATTATATTTTAATACACAAAATATGATAGATGAAACCTGTACTCGTATGAGAGGTAGGGCAAACCTGCAACAAAATTTATTAATCATAAAATATGATTTTATAAACTAAAGATGGGACTCCCACCAGCATATCCACGAGTTCAAAACGGGCGGTATTAATGAAGCTTGATAAATTGAAGTGGTTGAAACATCTTCTATAGCTTTGCATTGTGTACGTATACATACAACCTCTTAACAACGTCGTATGCGTAGGATTCGTAGTACCCTGTCTCGTACTGTTATGACCCACAAAAAACAAAAGAAAGATATAATATAGTCAAAGAACTGCAAAATCTATGCAACGATAGCCATCTAATACAGATGGTTCTGATTGGATAGTGTAAACATTTTGAATTAATATTGAAATATTTTAAATAATAACTTTCTAGCATTGTCGTACTAAAATGAAAAATATGGTACCATCTTCATTTTTGTAGATCTTTACGGCAACATAACCAGTACCTCCTCCAAGTACGCCACCTGCCATATTGGTAAGAAACCATAATCCTATTCTTTGTCCTTTAATCTTAGCTTTCTTTTTTTTGCCACGTCGACGATTGTCATCATCATCACAGTTATCTGCATTATTATCATTACCTGCATTTATGCAAATTTTCTATGTTAATTTTATTTAATTACAAGAATTAATAGCAACTGCGTAATAGTGTTGGTGGCGGAGCAAACGCTTACCTTGATCAACATATCGAATATAACATTTTCCTAGATACATATCACCCCAAGTTGACAGTCCACACTCTGATTTCAACCGTCTGCGAGCCTCTGAAAGACAATCTTCACATTCACTTGTACTCAAATCTAGTACACATTGAGCCAGAGCGTGCATGCTCCCATGCCCACCCCGACGAAAGAATTGTCCATTTCCAGCAAGTATATCTGTCAATGTGGCATCTAGACGGGACAAAACATCTGAATTAAAACCAATCGTTGGGCCACACCTCTTGTTCACCTCCCTATTGTCCTCAACCCCAAAAAATGGCGTGTTATCGTATTTCACAAGACATCCTTCTAATTGCATGGTTCCGAAAGTCGACATAGAACACGTTGTCTTGAGTTGACTCACACCACTTGCTACACAATCTTTGCAATCCGAGAAGCTAAGGTCGCCTTGGCACTGGAAGAGACCATAAACCACATCGCTTTGTGAGGATCCCAAAGGGGAGACTTCGTATGTGTTGAAGTTGGAGCTGGAGGCTGAGTCGACTATGGAAGTGAACAGTGAGTTGAGATTCGACTCGTAGGGTGTCATTGAGGTAAAACATAGTTGAGAGCATTCGGTATAGATGACGGAGTTTGTGGCAGAAACTGACAAGAAATAAAAAGTTATTGAAAACAAAATGAATGAAAAACAGAGCATTCGTTGTAGCATTTTTAGAGCATCTAATTTCAACTCAATGAGTTGTGACATTATATATAGGAGAGTTGACCCAATATTACAATGATATGGAATAGTGGTATATATACATATATATATATATATATATATAATTATCTTTATTAGTAAAGATAAAATTTTAAAATCTGTATATTAGAAATGCAAAGATTATTTAAACATTTGTATAAGAAACAAATAATAAAAAATAACTAATTTACAACAATTAAAGATTTATTAAAAAAATGTTCAAACTGCAATAGAAATATATATAAGTTTCATATTTTATTATATGAATAAATTGTTAAATAATTTGTGGATGACTGAGAATCACAAGTCATTATTTCATTTTCCTATCCAGAGAAAAAAAAATTGGAAAGGTGGTGCTGGCAAGCGTTGACTTGGGGGGTCACAAGCTAACGGTCTTATAAAAATGTATATATCTTTGAAGTATGTTTTATGACTTTTGACCCAAATCCAATTATTTCATCTCTCAAATCTCGACTTTTAATTAAGCTGTGTTTACAAATGTTTGATTAATTAGTAATATATATATATATATATATATATATATAGAGCTTGGTTCTAATACTAACCAATTTTTTTATGTTAACTATGTTAACCAACCTCAACCAATCATATTTCATCTTTTCTTTTGGTTCAAATGTAACTAATATATTAAATACAAGGGTATTTAAGTAATTTGTCATTTTATGTAACTCCCAAATAATTAATTGGGAGTTACAAATTTGAAAATGTCACAATTGATCATGATGCAATATTGACATTGAGGTTTCACACGTGTTCATGTTCTATAATTCACATTTATTTTAATCGACAGTCCTCACCTTTGACATATGAACACATCAGAAATCACACAGCCTTAGATGCCATGATTCATAAGTGTTCATGTATATTCAAGTCACTAGATGTTCATATGAATACATACACACACACACACACACAGAGAACATGTGAACACGTATGAAAACACACATCCCTAGATATCTTGGTTCATAGGTGTTCATGTACATACAACATAGTTGACTCATGAATATATAAAAGATGTTCATACGGTTCACATGTTGTTCATATGTTTAATCTTTTTTGTTTGATGTGGTTTAAAGATATACACAAGTTGTTTATATGTCTGACAACTTGTATATCAAAGATAGATTACTTTTTACCTAAATATCATTTGATATTTTGTTCACATATGTTAATTAAAAATATTAATTTAATAATTAATTTTTAAATATCATTAAATCACAACCGTTTATTATTCAAATTAACGGTCAAGATCAGTTAACAAAGTTAACACGATAATCTTGGTTAGCATTTGAACCAGCCCCGATATATATATATATATAAGATCATAATTTTATTATCTTTGTAATATATAACTTTTACATACTAAGAACACCTACAATGGAAATTATTGCTGAGGTTCCTCTTGAATTTTTTATAAGAACCTCCTCTATTGGATTGTAACTTTGGTGGGTACCGGTCCTGGTGGGTACTTGGAATCGGGATCGACAGGTACTTGCAATTTTTTGATAAAAAATATGTTATATGTTTATTATATTTAATAAACTAAAATTGAAATTACTAATTTAGCTTTTGAGGTAATCTTCTAATTTATTTGTTGTTGTGACAGTCTAGAAAATGATGTTTTACTAAAATATTTGTTGTTTTGCTGAAATAATAAGATGTTGCTTTGTTGCTGTTAGGTGTTGATGTGAACTGCTTTTGAAGCCGTTTTGCTATTGTCAAAAGTCTTCATCAAATTATTTATGTAATTATTAATTTTAGCAAATTAGTTTTTATCGTCTGTAGTATTTTTTTTAACATTAATATTTTGTATAGACTAATAATTATTTTTTTATAGTATGAATTAAAAAAAATTAAAATTAGAGATCGAGTACCGAGTACCGGAACCAGTTCCAGGACCGGTTCCCAATTATAAAGAACCGGTGTAACCGGTTCCGGTTTCTTCATTCCACGAACCGTCGGTTCCAATTTTGAGACCTATTCCATGAATTGTGGTCGGATACCCGTCTTTACTCATCCTGAAGCGAAACATTTATCCAAACCCCAAAATCTCAATTTTCCCAATTTTTAAGAATATATTGGAGATGTTTTTAAATTTGTAAATTAAATTGTTTTTATTGATTTTTTTGGTTTCATTAATTCTATATTTTCAAACACTTTTAAGTTATAAATAATATTGAATTATGTTTATAAACTAATGCATCCCAAAAAATCAATTAAATGACATTACAACCAAGCTATGAATTATTTGTTAGATTATTTAATAAATATAAATTAAGGTCCAAAGTTGGTTTATTGCAATGATCCAGTTCATTTTTGTTTGATTGTGAAGTGGTTAGGGTTTCAATTATCATGAGTCAACTATATATAATTCATCTATTTACTGATTATTGTGTTTATTTAATTAATTTTTTAAAAATAAAATCCAAACAACACTTGGTTTTGTTTGATGAAGAAACATAATCAATTAAGAATTATGTAAATAAAATAAACTTGTTTTTTATACTGTGTTTTCTTGTTCATTCAAGAAACTGCAAGATACAACGACAATAAGTCGGAGGGTTATGCAAGAAAGAGGCATTTTACGTATTGGAAGGAAGCCTAATTACTGCATTAGCTTTCAATGACAACACCTCCACGACCCGAATGACTCATAACGAGCCCGTGACCTACTGACAACAAACAAAAGAAGGGACCAAGACCGAGAGTTCAACAAACCATCAACAAGTGCCCTTGGCTGAAACCTTTGTAGTAATATCAAATAGTAATGAAACCCTACTACGATACCAAGAAACATTGTGGATAAAACCTCTACCAACCTACGTGATCTAGAAAGTTGGAAACAACGGTCTCAATCACATGCTCTAGCTTACGTACCATTCCCGACACGCTTATGTGATATCGTCGAATTGACCGTTTGACCCTTAATAAGAGAATGCCAACTCGGCCAATACAACACACGACATGTATATGATCTTCTTACTGACAATGATCTTGAACAATGACTTGAAATATCTCACAAAGTCTTTGAAAATTTAAATTCTGATGTCGGCTTTTTTGACATATACCATTTGTAATACTATAATCTTTGACGTTACTTTTACATTTGTGTTAACGTGTGTTGACATTCTTGAGAATCCCTTTACGTAAATTTTTGATTTTTTAGATGTTTTTTCTTTTTAATTTAACAAAAGGTTAAAAATATAAATAAAGACGGTTGGAATGAAATTTTATCTTTTTTTTTTAAAACTATTTTATTGTGATTAACCTTTGGCATAATTTTGCAAAAATCCGTCAATTAAATTTATAGTTTATTTTTAATTGATTTTTGAATTTAAAATGACCAAGTTGACAATAAGAACATGATCATTTGGCCCAATATTTATCGGATATAATTTATATGCAATAACTTCGTACAATATTTTATTTTCCGCTTCGTACAATATTTTATTTTCCGTTTTCTTTCTTACGACCACTCTCCACCTAACATATTCCTCTCAACAACTATTTATCGTATTCAATTTGCCAAAAGTCCGCCATTGGTCCTTCTCCTTACCCAGTCTGGACTTTGATAAGGTTCTACATTTTTGAAACCGCAAAATAAAGACGTACACATAATTCATGGTAACATAATCAAGGGGGCGTATCGTTCAAGCAGATAAAAGAAAATGGGTATGAAATTCCCTCAGTTTAACATGGAATGAAAATTTGGGCTTTTGAAAAAATGAACCTATTATATTATAAGAAACCAAACAATTTCTTTTATTTTTATTCTCATTAATTACTGCGTAATACCTCTTACCAAGCACATCATAAATAACCGATCTAGTACCAATAGCGTTATAGTTTGGGAAAATTGCAATAAAATGGAACCAACTTTCACCTTATTCCTATTTTGGGGAACCAACTTTTAAAATCGTCATTTAGGGGTCTCTATCAAAATTTTTATTTATTTAAGGGTCTGGTTGATTTGTTGAACATGTAACAAGTAATTTAAGGATCTCTATCAAATTTTTGATTTGATTTGCCAAATTTGATTTAAACTTTAATATTGATATGGATTTGTTAGATATAAAAATTTTGAATGTGATATTTAATATTTATTTTTTATTGTATCAATTATTTTTTTTCTATTAAATTGATTTTTTATTGCATTAATGAAAAATAATTTTTATTGTGGTAATTTGGATTTTTTTTGAAAAAATCTTCAATTTGATATCTAAATAAAAAAAAAACAGGATTTGAAATGAAAAATAGATTTTATCGCATTATTTTTTGGAAAAAAACGAATTTTAATTATTTTTCTATAATTATTTTGCAATTTTAAATATGACGTGAAATATTAGTTTTAAAATAAAAAATTAATATGATGCGAAATATCTTAGTTGACAAAAAATCTGGATGATATCAGTATTAACAGGTCAACCAAACTCTTAAATAAACAAGAAGTTTAATAGAGACTCTTAAATGACGATTTTGAAAGTTGGTTCCCCAAAATAAGAATAAAGTGAAAGTTGGTTCTATTTTAATACAATTTTCCCTTATAGTTTCGAAGCTTAATAAAAATAATTTAATAAAAAGTTGATCGTAATTGATATATATTTAAAGACGTAAATTCGTCATTTACATTTTTAATAAGAAATTAAAATAAACGATCTAAATCCACAATATTTTACTTTTTTTTTTCCATTTATTTATTTTATAAGTATCTTTATATCTCTTTCGACCATCATCCACCACCATATATATATATATATACACACACACACAAACACCCAATCAAACACCGATAACATTGTATACCTTTCATATTTTATTGAATTGTTTTAAACAAAAATGATTTTTGTAATCCAAGTTGATAATTCAAAATTCTCATATAAATTTATATTTAACCAAATAAATAATTAAATAAACTTGCAACACCACTTTCACAGCCACCTCATAAACGGCTCG